GACACCAACTGTCTGCCATCTATAATCCATACTCCCACCTAGTAGTGATACTCCCACTAGGTTTAAATCTGGGACTCCCCACCATTTGACCTTAGAACTGAAGAAGCTTCTCGTATGAGAGGTGAAACGTCTTCAAGCAACTTAAAGAAGTCCAGACGCTTTTCTTTGCAAGTTCCAAGTACAACATTTGTTCACCTCATATTTAGCATCATTATATTATATATATATTATACATAAATATATAAAGATCACTGTCCAGAAGAGCACAGTCCTAGGAACAGCAAAGATGGTAAATGGTAAATGGCCTGCATTTGTATAGCGCTTTTCTAGTCCCTAAGGACCCCAAAGCGCTATACACTACATTCAGTCACAAAGATATTGTGCAGGACCCTCAAGCTCCCAAACCTCACTGTTTTGTGAGCCAAAAAGCCCCTCAAGGTTGGTTGAGACCAAAATGGAGCTAAAAATCAAGTGAATAAAAGATATACTGTAGCGTACTTTTAGGTTTAAAGCTTTTGCCCTCCCCCGAAGTGGTCTTTTAAAAAAGGAGTAGAAAAGACACTTTATTAGAACTGGCCTAGAGTGAGACCATATATTGCATGAGACTACAACACTACTTCCAGCACCTATATGCACCACAACAACTGGAATGTCCATTTCAGGCGTTCTCTGTTCAGTGCAGCTGTGTAAACCATCCTCATTAGCAACCAGTCACGCCTCCTTAAATCTAATGAGTTGGCTACAGTATGTGACTTTATGATGAACAAATCTCTCTCTCTCTCTCTCCTCCTGATCTTTCCCCTCCATCCTTCCACTCTCTGAAGACAAGGACCTTTTTGTACGAAAGCGAAATCATAGGACTCACATGCTTTAGACAAGAGAAAGTGAACGATCACAGCGAGAGATAGGGTTGCTCAGAAGAGAGGGAGGCAGAGAAGCAGAGTGAGGTCATTCAGAGCTGGAAAAGGGACTTCAGAACTGGACAGCTGTGAAGTACACTGAACCAGACTGGCAAGGATTATCTGAACATGGAGAGTGAGAAAACAGAAACAGAGGGGAAGACAGAAGGTAAAATGAGCATTTAAAAAACTTCTGAAGAGATGTTTCAAACAAGTATTTGCAGCTAATATGCATAATATTCAGTTTATTCTTACTTTCAAAAAACAAATGTTTAGTCTGTGTCTAGAAACTGCTATTACAGCTCGTCAAAGTTCAAGATATCCTCTTTATTATGTCTGTTTTCAGACCAGCAGGTTAATATACTAAATTTATGAGGACATATAAAAGAATAAGGAAAGCTTAGTAAAGTTTTTCTTCTTTTTTTTTTCTAATAAGACAGAGCAAAACCAAAAAGAATATTTTTGGCAGTTCAAAATGAATTTTTTTCTCTTGCATATATCAGATTTTCTTCTTTTTTTTCATCATTCCTTTACATTTCACTCAGTCCTGAAATATTTACTGGGCTGTGATACCAAAATTTGCATAACCAGCCACAAAGCTACTTTGCCTTTTTTGTACCAGCTGCATCTGCAAAGACCATAAAATGTATGATACAGGGATAAAAACCAATGAGCAGCAGTAGTGTTGTAAAACAAACCTTAAACATAAAGCCTGGTGAGCACATATAAATAACAATATGATATTTTTGTAAAATGCTTAATTTTTAAGTATTTAATATGCGTATTAAACAGGGATTATTTAGTTATTTAAATTTTTTAAAATGTATTTTAACAGTACAACAAGATTGTGACCTACAAAAATAATTTTAATTATCCTTCATTTAATTCAAGCAGGGTCAAGAACCTTAGAAGGGTTTACCTAAATGGGATGTGGATGATTTTAATGTTATCAATTACTCCTGCTTGTTTCCTGTTTTCACAAGCCAAAATGTCTGCTGTTTCACATCAACGCTAAAGTACACCAAACGCAGCTTTGACCTTTTTGTCCTGATTGTTGGTTACCAGCTGAACGCAAGCTGTGATTTAGGTTCGTTTGGAGAACAAAGCCAGCGTGTACGAGATGAACTAAACATGCAGTCCAATGCTATACCAAAAATATGTCTCACTATCCAGACAGTTGTTGCTACTTGTTACCAAATGAGACATACAGTGCAGAAGCAACATCAAAATGTCACTTGCTTTCTTGGTAAAGCTCAAATTAGAGAACAAAATCCTTCTGGTTTCCTGATGGCAATAAATTAAAATATTTTTTGCATCTTCTGTTGAGGTCACTCTGGGACAGATATTGATGTAACATGTTGACGTCAAGTTTTTTGGCCTGAAACAGCTGAGGCCAAAAGCACAAACTCAAAATGCCAGAGGAATTTTGACAGAGAGTCTTCATTGTGGGACACATTCCTTGTTTTCCTCTTTCACAGATGAGAAGTGTTACTCATATTGTGCTCGTGCTCCTCATCACTTATGCATGATAATATATGTAAAACGTGTTTCGTATGACCCCGTGCAGTTTTGACAGTAGCCTCGACCTGTGACATTTTCGCAACAGACACAAGCATTGTACTTTTCTATAACCATCAACTGTGCCCAAATGCATGAAAAATTTGCCATGAACCACACTGCAGTGTTTTTGTTTTTTTGCCTTTAACATGGTAAATGCAGACACGCTGAACGGTGAATAATATAAATTCACACACTAAGTCTGAAGCTGAAAGCAATTTGCAGCAATGTGCCAAGCGACTACAGATGAAAAGATGCTGGTGATGTGAAGTGAGCCTGGCTCGTGATAGACTTCAAGACCAGCAATGTAAGTGACTACCAATGAGAGTGAGGAATACTATTGATTGACATATGGCATGTTAGTCAAGCTCTCAAGCTGTCACCACACTGGAAGCAATTTGCTTTTCATCCATTGCTTTACAGTCGACCGTGTGCAGAGGTTTCAGATTACCCGTTACCTAGGTAACCTTCTAATATATTTACTACCACATTATGTCAATCAAAGGTATCCTGTTCTCTTATTGGTAGTAATTCGCTTGCCTTGAACAGAGCCCTTGAGTAAGTGAATGCTATTAGAAAAAAGGTCCATTGGAGTGAATGGACCTTGTTGAATCCCGCCCACTTTGCATCACCAGCAGTTACTTTCCCAGTAATTGGTTGAAGTTGCCACATGTGGATACAACTTTAGGTTACACTGGGGTTGACTGGGCTTTTTTAAACTTTATTTGAGTGGGTTGAAATTCATTTGACGTTTATAGTTTGTTGAAATTACATGATCACAATTCTCTGTAATTCAGAGCATTTAACAGTTACGCCAAATTTTATGATTCAAGACCAAACGTGAAACCCACTGAACTTTTTGGAGTCAGATAATATGAGGAGAAACTTTTCTTGTATATAAAAATATATTAAAAGTTTGTTATTTTATAGAATATCATCTGTGTAATTAATTTTTATTCTACTTTTTTTTTAGATGCATGAACCAAACCTGTTTTCTGTGGTCTTTTGTCCTGAATAAGTGTGATAAATAATCTGTTAGCGATGCCAATTATCGATGATGTAACAAGTAGAAATTCTTTGAACTTAATTGCACATGATGTGTTAAATGTCTGAGAAAGAAAAGGTAAATAAACTGTTAATTTACATTTGGTGGGAAAAAAGGGGTTTTCTTGTGGCAATCTCTTTCATGCCTTTTCCATACTTGTTTAACAAACAAACGCTTAACAGTGGATTTGTCAGTGGATTCAATCAATATTTTCACAGAAATTTAGCCGATGTTATGTGGACACCACACTCAGCTCTTCATGTTTTCTCCTTAGATACAGAGGGGAATGTTGAAGAAGCTAGCCAGGGGATTTCTCAGGTAATCAAGAACTTTTAAACACTTCACACTTCATATTTATTTGTTTATACCTCATAATGGGTGAGCTAAAAAAAAAAACATGAATAATCCAAGCTTTATTATCAAATCAGAACAAGCTCATTTAGACAAGTTACCAATAAATTACATAATATTTGGTTCGTGACTTAAATTGTCTATTAACAACCGAGCCTTTCTGTCACTATTTATCAGAAGACGCAACAAGATGTTTCTTTAAATAGTAAAACTTTTATATTTTATTTTTTCCATTTTTAATACATTTTGTGTTGGTGACTTTGAGCAAACACTGTGCTCTTAAGTTACTGATAAACTGCCTGTAGCTTAAAACACAAAGGT